AGCCGCGCTCCGTTTCGCCACCCGCCGCCGTCTGCTGACAGGTACACCTGGCTCGTCTCGCTCGAGTACCACGGCGGCTTCCACTTCTGTGGCGGCACGCTCATCGCGCCCGATTGGGTGCTCACCGCCGCGCACTGCACGCAAGGCACCGTCGGCCGCGTGGCCGTCGGCATGCATGTCGTCGCCGACGTGAACACCGACCCGTGCGTCTCCTTGCACGAGGTGGCGGAGATCTTGAACCACGACTACGGCTCTCCCAATTCAGAAAGCAACGACGTCTCGCTGCTCAAGCTCGCCACGCCTGTGACCGGCTATGCGCCCATCGACTTGCTCGACGGCCCGGGCATGGACACGCCCTTCCAGGAGCACCTCGCCATGCTCACCGTCGCCGGCTGGGGCACCATGTCCTCCGGCGTGTCCTCGCCGGAGGCCATGGAGGTCGACGTGCCGGTGGTCCAGAATGAGGACTGCAACGTTGACTACAGTGGCCAGATTGACGACACGATGATCTGCGCCGGCGACACCGTGAATGGCGGCGAGGACGCGTGCCAGGGCGACTCGGGTGGCCCCCTCTTCGGCATCGACGCCGACGGCAACTACGTGCTCACGGGCATCGTGAGCTGGGGCATCGGCTGCGCCGACGCCGACTTCCCGGGCGTCTACGCGCGCGTCTCCCACGCTAGTGAGTGGATCTGCGCGAGGACGGACGGCGCGGTCTGTGGATTCAGCCCGCCCTCGCCGCCGCCTCCCTCGCCGCCACCGCCCTCCCCACCGCCACCCTCACCTCCGCCGCCGTCGCCGCCTCCGCCCTCGCCGCCACCCGCGACGCCGCCACCTCCCCTCGGACCTCTGCTTGGCGCGGACGGACTGACCACCGACGAGACGGAGTCTTCCGTCGCCGCTCTCGTCGGCGTCGGCGTCGGCGCTGCCGTCCTCATCGGCGCCGCCCTCGCCGCACGACGAGCGAGATTCCTAATCAGATCGAGGCTGTCGGACGGCGACAACGTGAGCACTACCGCTGGGAGCCTCACACCTCCGGCCGTCTCGAGGCAACCGAGTGACCCCGCGTCCTCGGCCTCGCCCCTCGCGCTCGAACGAGTCGAACGCGCGCGTGCGGCGCGGGCGACGACAGCATCGGGCGCCTCGCGAGCTCCATGGCCCGCGCGCCCCTGATTTGCCACCGGCGGCCTGCAAGCCAGCGCCGAGCAGCGGACGACGGCTGACCGACTGCTGACCGAGGCAGCGCCCACGGCAGCGCCCACGGCAGCGCCCACGGCAGCGCCCACGGCAGCGCCCACGGCAGCGCCCACGGCAGCGCCCACGGCAGCGCCCACGGCAGCGCCCACGGCAGCGCCCACGGCAGCGCCCATGGCAGCACCCACGGCAGCGCCCACGGCAACGCACACGGCTTGGCTGGCCATGTCAGCCGCGCAGGACCAGGAGCCCTCCCACGGGTCCTACCAACCCGAAGCGCTCGACCGCTCGACAGCGCAAGTCGGAGCGAGCCGCATAGCCCTCCAGTGCTCACCGCAGGATCAGGCCTGACCGGCCCACGCTCACGGCCTGGCCTGCCTGTGGACCAGCAAACTCGATGGCTGTACGCGAGGAAAGAGCTGCGTGGCTGGGTCGTGAGCATACCGTCCTCACGTGCGCCCTTTCCCTCAGTGGATGGCCGTCCCTGCCCTCGGGAGTAACTCGACTGTACACCCCTCCCTACTCTCTAGCTAAGGGCTCTATTCACAGCGGGGGGACAGTGGTTGTCCTGGCGGAGTCCTGACGGAGTCCTGACAGAGTCCTGACAGAGTCC